GAATTATATATGTAATTAGAAAATTTGACATTTTTGTAAATTAAATTAAAGAATATCTCTACTTTAACCGACAAATTAATAATTTATAGAAATCTTTTAATAAATAATAAAAATAGTTTTAATAATAACTAATTTTTACATATATTATGATTTTATTTATATTTTAACTTTCATGCTATTTCTTAATATTAAATATTCCTTTTCTCTTTTATAAATATAGATATTTCTCTCTCCAATGAAATGCAACCGTAGGCATCACAATTTACATTTGATTATAATTAGTACATCATGATTTTATACTTAAATGAGCGACGCGGCAAATTTCGAATTACGGCCCTTTATATATCTGTTCTTTTTACTTAAAGAGAGTTCTTGCAGTTCATCTTTTCTTTTTTTCTTTCCAACGTAGAAAGAAAAAGAAGAAAGATAAAGTTCAGCTACAAAGAACAGGCCATTATAGATAGGTGTTGATGACGCTACTCCCATCTGTGCGACAACGACGCGTCCATTCAGTCCAATAGTTTTACCGACCGCACAATAACTCGAATCAACTCGGATCGCCATTGGTCGCTATCCCATCCGCGTGTTCCCACTTTGCCTATATAAGATCGGCCCTAAGGGCCGCTTCCGCTCATTCGCTAGTGTTCGCTAGTGCTCCGTATACCAGTCGCCTGATCAGCTGATGACGTAACATACGACGAGCGTTTACGCGTGCAAGACGAAAATTACGTGCGTCTGTTGTGCTCGGTGTTGGGTGCACGTCCGCGGTGTGTGGTCGCGAGCGGCGACGTAGGAGAGTGTAGGAGAGTCAAGTGAGGTGGTTCCCCGTCGTCACTCGTCGGTCGACCGTCGAACGCCAGTTCCCCTCACACGCGTACTGCTCCGTCGTACGCGCGTACGCGTCGCACGCACCGTTCGCGACTCGCATCCGTACGGGCCGCGTACTTTTGTCACTCTCTGGAAGGCGTACGCATCGCGTAATAGCAGCGCTCGATCCGCTAATTCTGTCCTCGCTAAACGAGAGTGTGCGTGAAACACAAAGAGTGAAAGAGAAGGAGTGAGAAAGAGGTAGAGTGAGAGTGTGAGAAAGAGATAGAAAGAGAGAGAGAGAGAGAGAGAGAGAGAGAGAGAAAAAGTGAGACGAGAAAGTGGATCTGATCGTGTCAGGATGAGCGTCGACGCGTACGGTCCCAGCAGCCAGACCCTCACCTTCCTCGACACCGAGGAGACGGATTTGATCGGCGCGGACACTCAGGGTAGCGAGTTCGACTTCACTGACTTCACCCTACCGTCGCCGAGTCAGACTCAGGCCTCGCAACACGACGTTACCCAGACGCAGTCCAGTCAACCCGTTCAGGTTGGTTTTACATCCGTGTGTGTTGATCTCGCGTGTGTGTGCGCGCGCGCGTACTCATCTCTCGTCGCTTTCCCGGCGAAAATTATCGCCAGTTCTCGCGACGCGACGACCTCCCGGAGTTTGCCTCAGCCACGCGGCCTAACCTCTAACTGCGTTCCGCCCCGTCCCGTATCTTTCTGACCCCCGCGTCCTCCCCTCCCTCCCACCTTTGCCTCGATAGCGGAATCCTCCGTTTGAAACTTCCGGCGGGCGTGACCTTGCTCGCCCGCTGGAGAAACGCGTGACGACACCATCCCCGTCTCCCTCGCGCCCAGCTGCGAGCGACGAGGTTAGGTGCGGTCACTCTCTTCAGCATTCCGTGATGTTACGCAAGTCGCTTTCGCGGCTTCAAATGTAGCACGGATGATGGAATCCGAGCGGACGCTTAGCATTAATACGAGATAAGAGAAACGTAACGATGTATTTAATCCTGATAAGAGAATTTCTCCAACTTAAAATAAATTCGTGATAAAGAAAACACATCTTGTTCCATATAAATAAAGAAAAAAACGCGTTACAGTGTTTCTAGAAGAGGTTAAACTTTTCCTTATTTTATTCTGCAGAAGTTCTTTTACTCGCATGTATCAAATAAATATTTTGTTTTTAATAACGTCTGCTTTAAACTTTGCATAACTTTTGCTCTCTTTGACTCCATTTCATAAATCACATAATATACTTTATCTTTGTTATTCATCAAATGTTAAACTGGAGTAAAATTATATATCATGTATTTTATTGAACACAGCTTTTATAGAATTTGCTCTAATTTTGATTTATTTTGAAATATTTTCTAATGCTCCTGTAACACATTGTCATTTAGGTTAATGGAACGAATGGTAGCTCGTCATTAGATTTGAAGATTTCTGGAGCAGCTCAGAGTCTTGCTGAATTGCAATTTGAAGAGGAAGAGGAGGAAGCATACTATAACCGTGATTTACCTGATCATGCATGTAAATACTGCGGTATCCATGAAGCATCCTGTGTGGTTATGTGCAACGTCTGCCGGAAATGGTTCTGTAATGGACGCGGCAATACGTCAGGGTCTCACATTATCAATCATCTTGTCCGTGCTAAACACAAGGAAGTCACTTTACACAGGTAGTCTATTATGTTGATACAAAAGATATTATAAAGACGCATTAGAGAAATGCATAGAAAATATTGAAAGTATTTAGAATATATTCTTTATTCTGTTTTAATTATGAATTTTTTAATTTGTTATAACTGAATGTCACTTTTTAGTTAAAATCCATTGACTTGTTGCAGAGATGGCCCTCTTGGGGAGACTGTTTTGGAATGTTATTCTTGTGCTACAAGAAATGTTTTTGTATTGGGCTTTATTCCTGCTAAAGCTGATTCCGTAGTTGTATTGCTATGTCGCCAGCCATGTGCGGCCCAGACTTCTTTGAAAGATATGAATTGGTAAGAATGAATTATCTCTATTTTAAGAAAACAAGATCTATTTTTGTGCGGATATTTTAGATGTAACACATCTAAAATATAATATTCATATATTACATACAAATACATTTCAATTACTTTTATATATTTAGGGATCAAGAACAATGGAAACCTTTGATCGAAGATCGCAGCTTTTTGTCTTGGTTAGTGAAGTTCCCGTCTGAACAAGAACAATTGAGAGCTAGACAAATCTCTGCGCAACAGATTAATAAATTGGAGGAATTATGGCGGGACAATGTTGATGCTACTTTCCAAGATTTAGAAAAACCTGGAGTGGATGAGGAACCGCAGCAGGTTCTATTACGCTACGAAGATGGATATCAGTATCAAAATATTTTTGGTCCACTTGTGAAATTGGAAGCCGATTACGATAAACGTTTGAAAGAATCTCAAACTCAAGAGAATATTGAAGTACGATGGGACGTAGGATTAAACAAGAAGACTATCGCGTACTTTATGCTGGCTAAAACGGATGGAGATATGAAATTGATGCATGGAGATGAATTGAGACTTCGTTACCTGGGAGAACTTCACAAGCCTTGGTCTGGCATTGGACACGTAATTAAAATTCCTGATAATTACGGGGAGGAAGTCGGAATTGAACTAAAAAATAATTCTGGAGCACCGACAGAATGTATTAGCAACTTTGTCGTTGACTTTATTTGGAAGAGCACGAGTTTTGATCGGTAAGATATCGACAAAAATTGCAATATATCGATATTGTTTTTTGTATAATTATTAATATAATTATAAATATTTTTATTTTATTATAGAATGCAATCCGCATTACGGAAATTTGCTGTGGATGATACATCTGTATCAGCTTACATATATCACAGATTATTAGGACATGAAGTAGAAGAGGTCCTGTTTCGTTGTCATCTCCCTAAACATTTTAGTGCACCGAATCTACCTGATTTAAATAGATCACAAGTGTATGCTGTGAAACATGCGATACAACGACCTTTATCTCTGATTCAAGGACCACCTGGAACAGGTAAAACCGTGACAAGCGCTACTATTGTATATCAATTGGTGAAACAGAACGGCGGCCCGGTTCTCGTATGCGCTCCTTCAAATACTGCCGTTGATCAATTGACCGAGAAAATACATAAATCAAATTTGAAAGTCGTACGATTGTGTGCCAAATCGCGAGAAGCCATAGATTCTCCAGTGAGTTTCCTCGCATTGCATAATCAAATAAAAAATATGGAGACAAACACCGAGTTACAGAAATTACAACAATTGAAAGACGAAACGGGCGAATTGTCGAGCGTCGACGAGAAGCGGTACAGACTCTTGAAGAAAGCGGCGGAGAAAGAGCTTCTCGAAGCGGCCGATGTAATTTGTTGCACCTGCGTCGGCGCTGGTGACCCGAGATTGCACAGATTGAAATTTCATTCCATACTTATCGATGAGAGCATGCAGGCTACTGAGCCAGAGTGCATGGTACCAGTTGTTCTAGGAGCGAAGCAATTAATCCTTGTTGGAGATCATTGTCAATTAGGCCCGGTGGTGATGTGCAAGAAAGCCGCTAGAGCCGGTTTATCTCAGTCTCTATTTGAAAGATTGGTAGTGTTAGGAATTAGGCCATTCCGTTTAGAAGTACAATATCGTATGCATCCTGATCTTTCGCGATTTCCATCTAATTTCTTCTACGAAGGTTCTCTGCAGAATGGCGTTTGTGCTGATGAAAGGAAGTTATTGAAAATTGACTTTCCCTGGCCTGCACCAGACAAACCGATGTTTTTCTATGTAACACAAGGTCAGGAAGAGATAGCCGGAAGTGGGACATCTTACTTAAATCGTACTGAAGCATCCAACGTGGAAAAAATAACGACGCGATTCTTACGTTGCGGTGTAAAACCGGAGCAGATTGGAGTGATAACCCCTTACGAAGGTCAACGGGCCTATCTCGTACAATATATGCAGTATCAAGGTTCTCTACACTCGAAATTATATCAAGAGATTGAAGTGGCGAGTGTGGATGCTTTTCAAGGACGAGAAAAGGATATTATAATAATGTCCTGTGTACGATCCAATGAACATCAGGGCATTGGATTCTTGAATGATCCCAGAAGATTGAACGTGGCATTGACTCGAGCAAAATATGGCATCATCATTGTAGGAAATCCCAAAGTGCTTTCGAAGCAACCGCTCTGGAATCATTTACTTAGCTTTTACAAGGAGCAGAAGGTGCTGGTCGAAGGACCGTTGAACAATTTGAAGGAGTCCATGATACAATTCGCTAAGCCAAAGAAACTCGTGAACGCAGCCAATCCAGGCTCGCACTTTATGTCCACGTCGATGTACGATGCTCGCGAAGCTCTAATCCCCGGATCAGTGTACGATCGTTCTGGCACTCAAGTGAATGGCACGCAGAACCACAATCCGTACTACCAAAGAAACGTGCCGCTTGACATTTTCAGTCGTACTCATGATACTATCAGTTACATCAGCCCGGAACGTGCACAAGCAGCGATGAACAACATGCCTGTACCAGTTGGTATGTTTATGAACATGGCACACGTGCCGCCGCGTTTCTACAATCAACATCAGCAAGCATTACAAGCACGTCAGAATCAAAGAAACCGACGCGGCGTCACTGCTTCAGCGAGGAATAAATCAGGTCCGCGTATGGGTAAATTGAGTCAAACCGAGCAAAACACACAACCGTACAGTCAACCGGGTTTGCCACTGACGCAAGGCACAACTCAGGGCATGTCCCAGCCTGGTTTCAGTCTCTCACAACCTGGTCTCAGTCAGGCAGAACTTTCTCAGGACTCATTCGCGGTCGGCGAATTCCAATCACAGATGGACGGCCTGTTATCGCAGGACTCGACTTACCAAGGCGACCGAAGTGGCTTTTATCAGTCGGGCCAGTCGCAAGCCGGAGGACAGTTCTCACAGCCCTACTGAGCCGAGACCTACCTACGGCTGAGCAACGCAATTGCCATGCCATGAAGGCTCGTTCGACCAATTCTTCTTCGACCAACAACCACAAATCACTAACTGCGCAAAACGGTACGACGGCTCGACGATCGAGTACGATATTATGCAGCATATGCTCATGTCCTCGACGTGAGATAAAGGGGAGTGAAAGGAGAACGAAGGTTCCGTAAGCTAATTCGCCGTTGGAGGATTCCACCGTGGACGCGGAAACACGCAAGGCTTATGTATTTACTGACTAGTAACAAGTGCAACTACAGCAGAGAAGGACATCCGTGCAGGTTGGAGAACAAACGACTTACTGTCAATCATCGTGACAAGCGCTTACTGTGAAAGGATCGTTTTATCGCAAGGATCGAATGATGTTATAACTAACAAAAGTAGGAATGATGACACAAGGAAAAAATGGATATAGAATGGAAGTATCACTTCATTTGACCGAATTTGACATTGTCAACATCACGTCACGCTCGGGTGAATCTACGATGAGAGAATTCGTAAATGATCTTTTTAAGTAATCTTTAAGTTATTGAATCGCACCAAAACGCCACACATTTTTTCCACTATCAAGGATTTGATATTCGAACTAAATGGAAAAAGTACAAAGGAAATTAAAAAGGAAATACACTTTGAATTCCTTTGTATCTACCATTACCTTGAACTGAGGAGTAGGTATACATGACCATACATACTTGTTATTCGAATGCGTGAGCGCACGTCACACATATTGAGAGTCGATATCGATTTCTCCGGCGGACTTTTGTCTATGGGAGTCGCCAATGTTGCATCATCGTCAGACAGTATGAAGCCAATGTTTCAACATTATCACGGAGATGGTACATCCTTTCTCAGAGGACCGGCACATCCGCCAGTCGTGAGAAATTCATCGGTGGTTTTGATCATGTTGATTAGTTTTTTCCTTATTTTATATCTATTGCTTATTTTACCGCAGGGGTCAACAGAGCGCACGATTGAAAGGATTGCTTTCTTTTGGTGGATCCTTAGCGGATGGGCTAGTGGTCAGCATGACCGAGGAACAGTATAGACGCACTGCTTACCAAAATATATTTGTTCTTTCTTTCGTGTATCGCGTTACATATCGTTCTTTAACCTTTTCGCAACGGCAAATGATAAATATTTGCGGTGTGACAAAACGTTACTCTAATTTAAGAGTATTGTTTCCGACGTTTCGAAATTGAAATATATAATTTCATCGCGTTGGATTTACATATTGTACAAATATAATCATGAATCGACGAGTAAGGAATTACTGAAATTTATTTAGGGATTTGATGACTGATCGAATTTTCTCTATCTACATGGGAAAACATTTCCCAGCGACGGCTTCTCGTAGCGAAGGGGTTATTGCAAGAACGATAATTAATAAATTTAGGAAAAGCTCTTGATTTGTATTTCTTGGATATGGTATCTGCCATACTGCAAAAATCCTACATGACTATACATTATTGTGTGTTTCAGACATTACCATTATCCGTAATGGTACAAGTAACTCGTCACCATTCGAAATATTTCACTTATAAGTATGTATAGAATGTTCTATACAATTTTATTCGGATCACCTTTATGTTGCTTCCGAATCCCTGCCTCCAATTGTATAGTCTGCCTGTACTGGCTTCTGGCGGTAATATAAATTTATTATATTGCAATAGATTAAGTAATAATGTAACATGCATTATACAACACTAAATTGTTTTATTTCTTTTGTCCGACCAACAGCGCACCGCTAATATTATAGCAGATTATAATACTGAAATTTATTGTGAAATCTTATGGAAAAATAAATTTGGTTTGAAAGCACATGCTGTCGCTTTCTTTCTCTTATCCTATAAACTGTTGTTTTATATAAATAATAAGAACGTATGAATATATATATATATAT